TTTTTGCCCGGACACTGCCTTTAAGCGCAATCAACTGATGGCTTAACAAACGTAAAAACGGGATAAAAGCCCCATCATAACAAAGTAAACGAAGAGAGCGCTAGATTAACGATGATGATATAAATATAAAAAACCACCGAAACTCAATAGATGTGAAAATGCAACCTCATTTCTCAGAACTAGGTAGAAAAAAGCAGATTTTCCAACAAAAAACGATATTTGAACTCAAAAAAAGGAACTGTCCACTCACTTTCAGCACATGCCCTTCCCCAACAAGTTCCATTTCGGTCACTGTAGGTAGCTGCGCAGACAACTCATTCTTCAATGACTCCACAAGGCGGTAGATCACATTGAACTGCTCGATTCGGACACCTTCCTGCTCAGCCTGTTGTCGTATAGCTGGTGGCGGTTGTACGTTAAAGAGGTAGATGACAGCTAGAAGTGCGGAAGTATACGATCAAACAAAGGACAGCGAGAATTGTAGCTTACCACCAGTCTCCTTTGCGATCTCCACGTCCATATTTGTTGGTGGGCCTACCCCAAATTCCACAACTTGAAAGTTGCATTTTTCGCTAGTGTAGGTTTCCGTGACGTTGAGTATAGCTTCCAGAGTGCCTTCGACATCCGTCCGCAGCTGTAACGTAACAGATTTAGTGGCTATTTCAGACCATGACCTTTATTCTGAACAGATTTTACACGTCTGTATACAATTGGCCGGTATTCGCGGTTCGCACAGTGTGCACCTTTCCTTTCAAAGACTTGTGCTTAGAACTCACTTATGAACACTCAGAACAGAAAAATATTATAAAACGCTCGATTTTCTACCGTGCACAGAACAGCCGATGCGTATCATCTGCTTGGCATGCCTTCGATTCAACGAGATTGGCGGCTGGAAGGCGACCACTCGCGCCCGCGAGAGAGATGCGACGCAGTCTGCATCTCTCTCGCGAACGTGCTCTAATCATTCACTAAGTCGCGAAGCCCCGCCTTCAGCCGCTAGTTCACTGGAATCCAAAGGTAGGGATCGCACTTCGTTCATTCTACAGTTTCGTAAAGCACAAAATTGATGAACACATAGCCAAATCTCTATATGCCCCAAGTTTACTAGACAAGTTTCAATAAGGCGAAGTAATGCCTAGAGAAGTGGACGAGAAAGAATAGTGATTTTCACTCACCATCAACCGTAGCTTAGGAAAATCATCTTCAGCGGGTTTTTCAAGCCGATGTTCCTTGTGTACGACTCTCCGAAGGGTGGATCCATATCGATAACCCTACAAAGAAATCGTCATGATCTTTGCCAAACAGATAGCACGATCTTCACATCTCACAGAAAATCAAAAGTCCAAATTATGGGGTAGTTGGATTATAGCAAAGCAACTTCTGCTATTATAAAGTTTAGATAGAAATGTCAAAAACGAGACAGGTCCATTTTACTCAGAAAGTGAATCCTCATTCCGAAAAATGCTGATGAAGTTAAGCATATATGAGCAAGAGAATGAATTTTGAATCGAAATGCAGTTTAAGACTCACAGAATTCAACATTTTTTGTCGATTCTTCAGGTACTGCTCGCGTTCTTCCATGCGTTGTCCTTCGATGGCTTTCTAGAAGAATGATTCAAATCAAAAGACGTTCACATAAGCAGCAGATAAAGAAACTAGAGAAGAGAAAAGCTGTTACTTACCCAATCTTTTTCCGCCTTCTCAGCCATTTCTTTCTCATGACGAAATTTGATAGCACGATGGGCTCGATCCATACTTTCCACTTCCAAAATAATCTCTCCTGGATTTGGCAATTCCTCTTTCCAACCAGATATCTATAACCAATGCAATAGCAAATGACAGTTCCGATTTCTAAAGCATCACCTCACCCGCACAGGTGTACTTGGTCCAGCTTCTTGCAAATTCTGACCCTTCTCATTTGTCATGGTACGTACTCTGCCCATAGCTCCACCAGCAACAAGAACAGCATTCTTTCGAAGTGTTCCTCGTGTTACTACCACAGTACATACTTTCCCTATGCCTAAACAAAAAAAAA